GAGGGAGATAAGTGCAGATACGATTAGGAATGTATTGTACCGTCTCTCCCTCCCACACCTCCTCTCCCCCATCATCTCCTGAGATAATCACTGTCATTAACTTGGCGAGCACTCTTTCATCCGGAAACAACACATATATTGTTTTTAATTTACAAAGTGGTCCCATGCTGTGCATATCCTCCTGCATCTTACTTTATACACTCAGCACAATGTTTCTGAGATTTGTTTTTGCTGATACATGTAGATCTGGTTAGCTTGTTTTGATTTCTATGTGCTTTTCTGTTGCATAAATATTTACATTAGCTGTGATTGTCAATATATTTTAATGTATTTCCACCACTCTTATTTTGTGTTTTCCTATTTACGCTTTCCCTTTCTTGTCTCCCCCTCAGCCCCTACCCCTTTGGATATGGGGTAATTCTTTATAATAGACTATCACTCAGTTTCTCATTTGGGATTTGCATGATCTTTCTTTCTCTCTTCTTTTCTTTCTCTCTCTTTTTAAGAGAGGTTTTTGCTATAGGGCGCACGCGCTCGCTGGGGAGATAGAGACAGAAAGTGAGAAATTATCCCCTGAGAGGATAGCCACACCACAATCCCTTCTCCATTCTCTCTGGATGTTGGGCACGCATGCACATGCACCCGGTATGAGCTTTTAAGCCACCAGGTTCAGGGCTCAAATCGCAGCTGATTACTTGGGAGTCCAGCAACGTAACCATTACGCCATCTGCTGATCCCAGGATGTTTCTTTATCCCATTCAGGTTATACATTCTTACCAAGAATATTACACAAGTGATGTTGTGTCCTCAGAGTGTTGCAGATATGGAGGCATGTGATAGTCTCAGTAGGGGGAAGGGGAGAAATCTAGTATGTGTTCTATTTGTTATTTTACTAACATGATTATTTTTATCATTGTGACTAGTTATGATTCTCTAATCTGAAGGTTCATAGTGAACCAGTATTGTCATTAAACAAGATTCAAAGTAATATAAGAAAAAAAAAAGCTGGAGCCAGCAGGTGGCACAGTGGTTACAGGACTGGATTCCCATGTGGCCAACCATGGTTCAAGTCCCAGACCTGGCAGCTTGAAACTAATGCCAGACTTGTGTGCATGCATGCCCAAGATCCTGAGAGAAGAATGGAGGAGAAGGGATTGCAGCGTGTTCAGCCCCCGAGAGGGGGTTTCTCACTGTCTCTGTCTCTCTAGCAAGAGCACACACCCTACAGCAAAAAAATCTCCTAAAAAAAAAAAGAAAAGAAAAGAAAAAAGAAAGCTTTAATTTCTCTGAATCCTTTCAAATTTTCTGGGCAGGTCCTTTCCTATTCCTGCATGAAATCTCAGATAACAACCTAATAATTACAGCATTTGGGGATCATCCAATGTAATAACACGATTATAAACTGATTCAAATTCAAATCTTCCTTTCTGCATCTCTGAAAACAGGAATCTGCCCATCTTTATGGAAGTGCAGCTCTGTCCCTAGAGTGCAGTCACCACCGTCCCTCTGCTGCCAGACCAGGGCAGCTCCAACCACAACTCTCAATTTTAGGCTTTCAGGGAAGAGCCATCTAGCTTCCTCAGCACCCCACTTTAGAAGATGCATGCCAAACCTGCCAGGTAGCACACTGAAACTGCTGTCTTTTGACTTGAAGTGAGGAGGACGTATTCCCCTGTTCTTCCTCCACAATGCTAATAAATACATACATGCTGGCCAGCCAAGTGGTGTAGTGGTTGAGGCAGCTAGATCTCCCATAGCTGATGTGGTTCAAGTCCCAGGTCCCATGGCTTGAAAAACACACCAGGTGCATGTGTGTGTGTTCCTAAAACCTGAGAAGACAATGGGGGAGACAGATTGTGGCACCATCAGCCCCACGAGGGATGATTCCTCACTTTCTCTCTCTCTCCCTACAGCAACTTAAAAATAAATAAGTGAATAAATAAATAGGACCAGCCATGGATGTGGTTAAGGTGCTGGACTCCCACATGGCAGACTGTGGTTCGAGTCCCAGACCCGGCGACTTGAAAATCATACTGGGTGCATGTACGTACATGCCCCAAATCCCGAGAGAATGGAGGAAAAGGGTTTGCAGAGTCACTATGCCCTTGGAGCATGATTTCTCACTTTCCCTCCCTCTCTCTTGCTCTCTCTTTTTCTGTCTGTCTCTGGTGAGTATACAAGTCCTATGGCAAAAAACTTAAAAATAATAACAATAAAAACAAAGAAAAGTTTAGCATGTCAACCTAACAGAACTCTCACCTAATAATTCATTCTCTAAGCCTCTTCATCTTTAGCCTCTCAAATAGGTCAAAAGTAAGCAACTGACTCATATTGTCAGACTAGTTTTGCAACCTATTAACCTGTCTTCCTCTTGTGGCCAAGAAGTTAACTTTAAAATCTAGGTTGACTTGTCACTTACTGTTCCTGATCTTTTGACCTTGACTGAAAATAAAAAGAAATTTATTTTCACATCCAGTGACACATGTCTTTCATTTTAGGTGCCATCTTTTTTTATTTCTTTTTTTGGGAGAGATTTTTGCTATAGGGCGCGTGCACTTGCCAGAAAGACAGAGACAGAGAGACAGATAGCAAAAAATCACCCCCACAGGGGGGATGGCCACACCGCAATCCCTTCTCTTCCATTCTCCTCTCAGGATCCTGGGCATGCATGCACAGGCACCCGGCATGAGTTTAAGCCGCAGGGTCCAGGACTTGAACCGTGGTCGACTACATGGGAGTGCAGCGACATAGACATTACGCTAACTGCTGATCCCAGCACCATCTTTTTAAATATTGTTTTTCTCCATTTCTCTTCCCTCCTTTGGAACTTCCACTGGGTACACATCAGTCTGTCTAATTCTATGATCATTCTACTACAGTGTCTCAACCTCTATTATTTTTTTTCTAATTTTTATATGTGGCATTCTGGGTAATTGTCTCAAAAAAATCTTTCAGCTCACTAATTGTTTCTTCAGCTGTATTTAATTTGCTTAACCTACCCATAGATGGACATTCAAATTTTAATGTTTATTTCTAATTATGAGATTTAAATGTTCTTATTTTCCACATATGTGTTTTTTCCTAGTCTTCTTTCATTCTTGCTTCTTTTTCTAAAATCTAGTTAATATTAAATTGTTTTCAATATTCTTGCACTATCATCCATGTCATATTACTATATAATTTTGAGTCCTGATGATCCTAATCCTTCCTTACGTTGTACCCTTCCAATCATACCTTATGATTGTGAGTTAATACTTAGTGAAAATCTCAGGTATCCAAGGTTATAAAAACTCAATACTCAAGGTGGTAGAGTGGTTAAGGCACTGGACATGGCCTACTACAGTTTGAGTCCTGAACCCAGTGTTGAAAGTCATGCTGGGCACATGTGTGTGCATGCCTATAATCCTGAGAAGGAGAATAGAGGAGGAGGGATTGAGGCATGACCTTCCCCTTGGGGAGTAATTTCTCACTCTCTCTCTCTCTGTCTCTCTGGTAAACGTATGCACCCTGTAGCAAAAATCTCCCTACAACAAACAAACAAACAAAAAAAGCTCAATACTCACATATGGCACAGACATAATGTTTCCACTTTTCAAAAGGAACATATTTTAAAAGGATTATTCATTTAATTTTAGTATTATTATTTTGAATTTGCTATAAGACATGTGTACTCACCAGAGAAAGACATTCAGAGAGAGAGAGAGGGAAAGTGAGAAAGCAAGCCACCAGGTCTGGGATTTCAACTGTGGTTGGCATGTGGGAGTCCAGAGCCTTAACCACCATGCTACCTGTGTCAACATTATTTTTTATCCAAAACATCTTGATTTTTAAAATTTATTTTATTTTTTAACAGTTTTTTGGAGAGATTTTTGCTAGAGGGCCTTTGTGCTCACTATAGAGATACGAGAGACAGAAAGCGAGAAATCACGTCCCAGGGGGGAATGACCCCAGGGGGGAATGACACACCGTAATCCCTTCTCCTTCATTCTCCTCTCAGGATTTCAGGCACACACACACACGTGCCTGGCATGATTTTCAAGCTGCCTGGTCTGGGACTCCAACTGTACAGTCAGCCATGTGGGATCCAGGGCCTTAATCTCCATGCCACCTGCTGTTCCTGGGATAAATTTTGAAAAGTCATATAGATACTGTAGGCAGTGCTGTGCGGGCTGAAGTTCCAGTCCCTTTATTGCTTACTGTACTTTCTATGCAGCTTTACAATCTATGTCGTAGGGTTCTGGCAAAATGCTGGCCTGAGCTAATGTTCACCCCTACCTTCTACTTAGAAAGGTATGGAAATGCTGGTTAAACTATACATCTGTCTACCCATCCGAAACTTTAAAAAGATGACAGCAGTCCTCTTATCCATAACTTTGCTTTCTGTGATGTCAGTTACCTGTGGTCAACTGTGGTCCAAACAATTCAGTGGAAACGTCTAGAAATCATTTGTAAATTTTATATTGCTCACTTTTTTAAGTAGTGTGATGAAATGCCAGGCTGTCCTGCTCTGTCTGCCTGGGATGTGAACCCTCCTTTGTCCTGTGTATCTATGCTGTATATATTACCTACCCACCCACGAGTCACTTAGCCTCCTTGGTTATGAGATCGCAAGAGTGTAGTATATCTAGAATTTGGCAACGTGGTACTATCCATGGTTTCAGGCATCCACTGGGGGATCTTGGAATACACCCCTTCGCAGAAAAGGGAGAACACCGTATATAGGAATATGGGTAAAGAATAATTTCTTATGAAAAGTCAAAAATGAATGAACCATCGAAGAATAGGATGATAAACCTGTGTTAATTAAGGTCATCTGGTACCAGCAGATGGCGCAGCAGTCATCTTAATGGCCCAGACATCACTGGCAGCTTTTAACTCTCCTCATATATGCTATGAAGTAATGTTAAATGAAGAAAACAGAAGTAGTACCAAGACAAAAAAAAAAAAAAAAAAAAAAAAAAAGCCAATAGGACAAAAAAAGAAGTTGGAAACAGACTCACCTACATATAAATGGCAATTTGGAGCACAACAGCAGTGGCATTTGAAGCCTCTACAGGAAGAAAACACAACTTAAAATACAATAGTGGGACAACTGTCTTAATGAAGAAAACGTAAAATTAGGCCTTATCTCATATATAACAAGTACAAATGTGAAAAACAATCTTTGTAGCATTTTAAGAAGAAAATATAAGGAAATGTAATTTTCTTACATTATAAGTAGCAAAGTACTTCATAAGGCACACACACAAACGCACACACACACACACACACACACACACACAAATCTGCAAATCATAAGGGCAATAACCTATTAAATTTTACAAATTAAAATTATAATCTCTGTATAAAAAAGGAGTTTATAACAAAAATTAAAAGTTTACCACAAATAAGCTTGTAAGCAAAAAAAAAAAAAAAAAAAAAAAAGAGTAATCAACTAGGAGAAAGAAATCTTGCAAAATAATAACAACCAGACAAACAATCCAATTAAAAGAATATAGTAATGGAATTTACATAAACAGAAACATAGACATCCAGCGAATTATAAAAAGATGTTCAGGGAAGTACAAATTATAATAACAATAAAATAGCGTTTTACACCCATGACTTGGCAACAACTAAGAGTCTGATAATACTAAATGTTCATGAAAATGTGAATAGGGAATTATTATTCACTGCTGGTAGAAGGGTTGGTTCAGTCGCTGTAATGAATAATTTGGCAATACTTAATAATGTAGAAAATTGCTTTTCCTAAATTCAAATGACACACTGCCAAATAGATTATGAAATTCATACATTCACAAGAAGTCATGTGTATATATGTTTATTGCAACATTGTTCATAATAGTAAAAATTAAAATAAATTCATTTTCCCATCACTTGGAGAATAAGTAGAACTATTTAATGGGATACTATATGGTGGTTAAAATTAATGAATCTTTTTTTTTTTTTAGAGGTTTTTGCTATAGGGCGCGTGTGCTCGTCAGACAGACAGAGAGAGACATAGAGACAGAAAGCGAGATATCACCCCCCCAGGGGGGATGGTCACGCCATAATCCCTTCTCCTCCATTCTCCTCTCAGGATCCTGGGCACGCACGCACACGCGCCCAGCGTGAGTTCTAAGCCACCGGGTCCGGGATATGAACCGCAGTCGACTACGTGGGAATCCAGCGACATAGCCATTACGCTAACTGCTGGTTTCCTAAAATTAATGAATCTCAATGCTTAACTAAAAAAGTACATTTCTGGGGCCAGATGGTGGCAAAACGATAATGAGATGCCTCTTTGAGGTTGACACGCATGGGAAGGATCTGGGTTTGCATCTGGAGATCTCCCTGAGTATGCCAGGTACTGTGCGTGCCCATGACCTGAGGCTGGTCAATATGAGGGTTGCGTCATGGCATCAAGACCATATTAAGGGTGCTATTTTTCTGTCTGTCTCCCTCATACGCATACATGTTCATGGAAAAAGTAAGTAAACTTTAAAAAGAGTAAATTGTTAAAGTAAAATCTCATTTATATACATTAAAAAACAAAACAATGCCATTTATTGTTTCAGATGCATTCAGGACTAAGCCTATAATTTATTTAGTATACCTGTACATTTAGGCATACTAAAAAGTAGGGGCTGGCAGGTGGTGTGGTGGTTAAGGGCACTGGACTCCCACATGGCTGACCACGGTTTGAATCCTGGTCCTGGTGGCTTGCTCGCTCTCTCTCTCTCTCACTCTGTCCCTCTCTGGTCAAATTGAAATAAATAAATAAATAAATAGAAGGTTAAATAAAATAATTCTTTTTTTAAAAAAATAGGTATACTTAAAAGTATTAAAACCTCATGGAAATAATACATACCAACTTTAGGATAAATGGTTAATTCTAAGAGAAAAATAATGGCATGAGAAATAAACTTTGCCCCTATCCTCTACTTCATTCTTTCGCTCTCCTTCCTTAGGGATTTCAGTTACACATGTGTTAACACCATTTAATATTACTTCACTCTTTTTAGATACTCTAGGGTTTCTTTCTTTCAGTTTTTTTTTAAATACCTTCTCTTTGTATTTAGTTTAGGTCATTTCTTTTTATTTATTTCATGAGGGAGAGACAGAGAAAGACAAACACCTCCAATAGGGTCTTATGCAATGAAACCTCTACCACCCACTCCCACCCCATCTTTTAGCCAGTCAAGATCGAAGACCTGCATACACATGTCCAGCTTGGACAGGTCGACCTGGGAATCAAATCTCAGTCTTCTACATGGCTTTCACCATTGCATACTGCTATACCACTGCAACTTGTTTAAGTGATTTCAATTTTTTGTTTCAGAGAGGTTTTTGTTATAGGGTATGTGCACTCGTCAGAGAGATGGGGAGAGACAGACAGACAAAAGGCGAGAAATCACACCCAAAGGGGATGGAGATTTTTGTTAGAAGGTGTGCACTCGATGGAGAAATATAGAAAGACAGAGAAACAAAAAGCAAGAAATCACACCCAAGGGGGATGACCATGCTGCAATCCCTCCTCCTCCATTCTCCTCTTGGGATTTTGGGCATGCACACACATGTGCCTGGCATGAGTTTTAAGCCACTGAGTCCAGAACTCAAACCGTGGTCAACTATGTGGAAGTCCAGTGATGTAACCATTACACATCTGCTGGTCCCAAGTGATTTTTTGGGGGGAGAGATTTTTGCTATAGGATGCATGTGCTCACTGGAGAGACAGACAGAAAGTGAGAAATCACTCCCCTGGGGGACGGCCATGCTGCAATACCTCTCCATTCTTCCTCACAGACCCAGTGGCTTAAAACTCACACTTGGTGCAAGTGCGTGTGTGCCCAAGATCCCAAGAGGAGAATGGAGGGGAAGAGATTGTGGCATGACCATCCCCCTGGGAGGCGGGGGTGATTTCTCACTTTCTGTCTCTCTGTCTCTGTTTCTCCAGTGAGCGCATTTGCCCTATAGCAAAAAAAAAAAAAAAAAAAAGAAGAAGAAGAAAGAAAATCACTCTAGGCATGTGTGCATGGGTCCCCAAAATCCTGAGAGGGGATTAGATGAGAGGAACTGCAATGTGGCCATCCCATCTGGGGGGTAATTTCTCAATGTTCCTCTCTCTGTCTCTGTTGAGCACAAGCACTCTACAGCCAAAAAAACAATAGTCTGCCTATCACACTAGGTCACATCATCGGTTCAAAAGTCCTCTTCACAGATTCTTGCAGGAGAACTAGCAGCGCCTCGGACAAACTGCTCTCTAAATGACCCCTTCCACCATGCCTAGTTCCACAGGCGGCAATGCAGACCCAGTAATGTTGACTTTCCGAAGACCTTCTACTGTCCTCAACTTGCCACAAAATCAAATTTAGCTTGAGCTTTTCAGAGAATGCAAATGGCAGACAGACAGAGGAAAGCTTCTCTGAAGTTAGAGATTTCTAGGATGTTGACAGTTTCCAAAAGAAATTCTAAATTCTACCCCCTGGTAAAATAAAATCCTTATTCTGTTCATCCAGAATACTTGACCCAGAGCTGGACAAAGAGGTATTCCTGTTCGCACTCACTGAAGCCATGCTGTCTTCCTTCAAGTTATCCTGGCCCTGGGCTGTAGCTCGGCTCCTACAGAGGGATTTCAATGAAAACAACAGTTCTTGGTCCAAAGCAATAAAGAGACAAATGAGTCATAACAGTCTGGATTCTCCAGCAGCATAAGCAGTTCCGTGAATCGCCTCTATAAAAACCCTGCCCTTGTATCCTAAGCTGTGTTCCGAGTGCCAAAACCTTCCATTCAAGAGTTTTATAACTCAGCCCTGTGCTCAGAAATGTCACTGCACATAAGAGGGCCTTTGATCTCTGGCCATACCCAGGCCCATAGTCTGCAGCGAAGCGTGGTTTGATAACTATCTAAAGAGAAAAGCACTTTGGTTTCCTCTCATCTATTTCTATTCTACTTTTAATAAGCTGCTTAGCTCCAGGCACCTGCCCTCTGCCCTCCAAGCTTCCATCTCCACCAGAAGTAAAACAGGCCACTGGTTATGTGCTCTGAGCACTCGTGAACTAACAATAACGGCAGCAAATACTTGTGAAAGGCTGACTACGGGCAGGCCCTGCTCTGTGCGGTTTATGTGGGCTCTCCTATGTAGGTGGTTTTCACAGATGAGGAAATGGAATCACAGAGGGACAGAGTGACTAACTCTGACAAAGTCACAGAGTCAATAAAGGGCAGAGAGCCAACCGGTGGAGTGATGGTTAAGAAGGCTGGATCCCACACGGCTGACTGTGTGGTTCAAGTCCCAGACCAGGCAGCTTGAAAAAACATGCTGGGTGCATGTGCATGCATGCCCCAAATCCTCAGTGAAGAATAAGGAAGACGATTTCTCACTTTACCTCTTTATCTCTGTCTCTCTCTAGCAAGCACACATGCCTTATGGCAAATTAAAATAATAATAATAATAATAAGGCCAATAAAGGTCAGAGCCAGGATTTGAAACCAAACAGTCCATCTCCAAAATATGTCTTACTCTTGTACGATGAAAGATTAATACAAGCCTGGGGCAAGAAGTTGGTGTGGTGGATAAGGAGCTAGACATTTCCACATAACTGACCACGGTTTGAGTCCCAGACCTGGTGACTTGCTTTCTTGCTTTCCCTCTCTCTGTCTCTCTCTGGTCAGATTGGGATAAATGATAAATAAACAAAACAAATAATTCTTTAAAAAAATTTAATACAAGCCCCAACAGAAAGGGAGACATATAAAATCAGAAATGTGAGTCTCTCTTTAATAAGAGAGAAACTTTGGAATAAATTCCTTAGACCTAAAAACACTTTTTTTCTAAGTACTGTGTTAGAAAACTGAATTTGCAAACCTTTGGACAAAACCAAAAGTTTTCATGAGCTGTCAGTGAAACAAACTGAACTGAAAGCTCCAAATCAGACTGAACTATGCTCTATATTAAATCAAAAGTATCAGATTTCTTCTGCTTAATTTTTCTTCCATTTAAAAAAATGACCCAAAGACTCTATTGCTGTCCAAATGCCTTTCTTTTTTAAAGAACACTCTTTTTTAAA